ATGTTCATGTTGAAATACTGTTATATGTTATTTAATATGTTATATATGGGTCATTGCGGGGTTTGGGGCAATGACTTTTTCAATATTAATTTATTCAAATATTATTAATAAAGCTGTGGACAATTTTGACCCATATACCGTAGTGTGTCTTATTGGATTAGGTATGTGGAGGTTTTGTTTTGATTCCACCGGCCCATATGGCAACTATGCACCTGTCATTTTATATATCACATCACATTAACAATTTGTGCAAGGAAAAAAAATAACCAATCTGCTCCAATCTAAATGTCATTAGTGGACATACTAATAACAGTAATGCTTGAATGATTCTCATTTTTGATAGGCTTGTAGCCTTGTATAGTATTGCTGAGGATCCTCACATGTTGTTTCACTCAACTGACCTCAATACGTTTTGAAGCAAATATGCCTAAATTGGTCTGAATGGAGTGGGACCCAACTGTACAAACTTTTTTTTTCTCTTGGCCCCAACTGTACAAACTTTTTGTGGTTGCTTTACCCACCAGTTTCAGCTCTCTCACCTAGCCCTACACAACAGCTTTTCTTGACCTTATGGAAGTCTGTTATGGTATAAGCACTGGTGTACGCCAGTTTGCCAGCCTCTTCTCTTGGGGGGCCCAGGAGCTGGCCACCTCAGGGCCCCCCGAGGCTGTCAGCGGGCGGGCAGTGCATGCGAGGGAGCAATCTCCCCTAAACTCTCTCTGTTCAGCTGAACAGAGAGCGCTCAGTGCTCCCTCGCCGCCTGCAGGGCCGGCCACCAGGCAGCCCTACTGGACCCCAGGGAATCCCCTCAGCACTCCCAAAGGTAGGGAGGCCGGTGGATTAAAAAAATTAAAAAAAATATGAGTGTGTGTGTATTTGTGTGTTAGTGTGTGTGTGTGTTAATTTTTGTGTGTGTCTGTGTGTGTTTGTGTGTCTGTTATTGAGTGGTCAAACTGTTGTAATTCCTACACCGTTCACCTGATTTGGATGTAAATACCCTCAAATTAAAGCTGAAAGCCTGCAGTTAAAGCACATCTTGTTCATTTCATTTCAAATCCATTGTGGTGGTGTTTAGAGCCAAAAAGATTAGAATTGTGTTGATGTCCCAATATTTATGGACCTGACTGTATATAATATCCTTGATCTTCAGAATGTTTCCATCCTCTACTCACATTTACTTGACGTTAACAACTGTCCTATTTCTTAAAATTGAAGCATGAACACAGGGAGTCCCTCGATCCCAAAGATTGAATAAAGTTTACAGATTTTAGAATCACATTTTGCACTTCCCTGGACTAGAATTGTTATAAGATTCTTTTCCATTACCTGTCTTCCACTTAACTACCCACCTACACCCCACCTTATGCCTCCAAGAATGCATCTATGTCACAGGATGCATGTATTTAATTGTACAACGGGTAGTACTGCTTGTTTCTCCAGTCTCAGTGAGAACAGAGTTTTTAGAAAATTGGTGCAACCAAATTTATATATATATATATATATATACATACATACACACACAGTGAGGGAAAATTTATTTGATCCCCTGCTGATTTTGATCGTTTGCCTACTGACAAAGAAATGATTAGTCTATAATTTTAATTGTAGGTGTATTATAACAGTGAGAGACTGTAAAATCTGGTTTGGATCGTTAATGTTGAATCTTCTTAATTTCTTCTTATCTTCAGTTGATTGATATATATATACACGTCTTTTGTATATATAGTCTTGGGCCAAATATAATGCTCGCCACATTAATATATGTCTAAATTAATGAAAAGTAATAATACGCAATCTGACTTACGGTTTCTTCAGGTTTATTCTTAGTTACGGATATATAATAAAACAACAAAGGATGTTACAGGATAGTGGACATTCAACAGCAGATGGTAATTGCTGGACTCCTGACTGGAGAGTTACATTCTTACATCTTTACATCGAGAGAGAGCCAGAGAGAGCCAAGAGCCAAAAGACCTTGTGTCTCTTTGTTCAGTTACTATATAGAAGTGCCATAATGATGTCAGACTATAACTCTAGCCATATAAGGACAAAACCCCCAAATCCACATTCCAGAGCTCTCATACAAAGAGAGCCTTGTGACTTATACCATCTGTTACTTATGTCAATCCACACATCCATATATAATCAATAGAAACATAGAATATGCAATATTCTACATTCCCTCTGTTTATGGTTTGTCTTAAAACCATAACACAATGTCACTAACCTGTCCATTCATACATCACTCGTATCACAGTCATGGAACATAGAACAAGATGTAGTCACAACTTTCTATTATATGAGAGTTCTTGTAAGGTCGAGTTTCTATCCCTCATACTGCTTACTTTACTTCAAACTCCCTTCAGTTGATTGATATATATATATACGTCTTTTGTATATATAGTCTTGGGCCAAATATAATGCTCGCCACATTAATATATGTCTATATTAATGAAAAGTACTAATACGCAATCTGACTTACGGTTTCTTCAGGTTTATTCTTAGTAACGGATATATAATAAAACAACAAAGGATGTTACAGGATAGTGGACATTCAACAGCAGATGGTAATTGCTGGATAAAATTTTTATAAATTGTGTATTTTATATAATAAAATATTTTTGGGGGCTAATATCTGTGCCAACTATCTTTTTAAACACTATTTATTTTTATTTTTTTGGCATTTATTTGATTTTACTACGTGCTTACAAGCTCATCCGAGGTGGGGATTATACCAACAACGCTGTCATCAGAGTGCAGTTGGCCTGCACTACACTTGTAAGTACATTTTTATTTATTTAAACAACTTTTATACCATTTTAAACAGAGAGCACTATTAGTTGTTTTCATATATCCCTTTTCCTGAGAGTTGGACTTCATTCCTTCCGGAGGACAATCATCCATATATCCCATAAGCGGGGATTGTTCCGCTGTATGCCTGTTATACCTGAGCTGGCTATAGCTCATCTAAATGTGAGTGGAATATTTATATCCTTATCTCACATATATTGACCCTTACACTCTATACGATTGGTCTTTTTTTCTTGTATCTTCTATATCACGAGACCAACAGGACTACTATGAACAGAGAAGAGACCCCATCACCTAAAGCACCTTAAAATACATTTATTGCCACAGTGCAACTTCTATAATCTTTTTGGACTATTTTATACCTCTTATAAGTTTTATTTATCCTTTTACTATTTGTAGACATCATTGATACATTTTGGCGCAGCCTTGCATTACTGTTGTTGTTGTTTCTCATTCTTACCATAGAAGGTCAGAGGGTTACACTCTGCTAGGCCACTGCCTATCCACCTTGTTATTATTAGCGCTAACCTCCTTCCTTGTTTTTTCATTAAAATTATAGACTGATCATTTCTTTGTCAGTGGGCCAACATTCAAAATCAGCAGGGAATCAAATACTTTTTTTTCCTCACTGTATATATATATATATATATATATATATATATACACACATACACATACTCGCTGCATGGAATCTAAAAGAATACCCATGTGATGATGGATTCAGTCTTTGGTTACTTCACATTCTTCCATAAAATATGGAATCCATGCTTTGAGGTGAACTTGGATTTCCTTCCATCTCTAAATCTTCCTCCCTGCCCTTCCTTTTGCTTCCCGTATTTCCCTATGTTATCGAAAGACACCAAATGCATCTGGAATTTAAAAAGAAAAATGTATATAGCTTTTTCAGGAAACTTTGGTTCATGAAGGCAAAAAGTGTTGGGTGTTGGGTGTTACAGTGCAGCTAAATAAAAATACAACAATAAAACACATACCTCCCAACATTTCAAATGGAAAAATAGGGACACTTTAATTATGGTGGTGTGAGTAAGGGTGTGACCAGGGGTGGGGCTGTTCTGAGAAATATTAGGTAACTTACTAATAAAAATTGTATGCAACTAAAATGTAATTTACAACAAGAACAATGCATCTTATTTACACTGAGTGATTCATAAACACATTTATTGTAGTTTAACCCCTTAAGGACACATGACATGTGTGACATGTCATGATTCCCTTTTATTCCAGAAGTTTGGTCCTTAAGGGGTTAAATACATATTATTGCTGTGGAACTTTAGTATACACTCATAAACACTATGGAACTATTAAAAAAGATGGATTGAAAAAGAGTGAATGGTGCCAAAAATAGGGACTGCCCCTCCTAAATACTTCAAACATATGAAAACATAACAGCAAATTTTTCATGGGCCATATATTTTAGTGAAGTTGCTAGACTGAAGTAGGGAGGATCAAAGGTGAACTTTATTACATGGCCATTATTGTGTTTAACATATACAATGGTCCACTTTTCCACCCAAATTATCTACTTAAAGGACCACTGTAGGCACCCAGACCACTTCAGCTCAATGAAGTGGTCTGGGTGCCAGGTCCACCTAGGGTTAACCCTACAGCTGTAAACATAGCAGTTTCAGAGGAACTGCAATGTTTACAATAGAGTTAATCAAGCCTCTAGTGGCTGTCTCATTGAGAGCTACTAGAGGCCGCTTCCGCGCTTCTCACTGTGAAAATCACAGTGAGAAGACGCTGACGTCCATAGGAAAGCATTAAGAAATGCTTTCCTATGGACTGATTGAATGTGCACGCTGCTCTTTCCGCGCATGCGCATTCAGCGTTGATGTCGGAAGAGGGAGGAGATTTCTTGAGAAAGGTAAGTGATTAACCCCTTAAGCCCCCTAGAGCCCGGCAGAAGGGGGACCCTGAGGGTGGGTGGAACCTATAGTGCCAGGAAAACAAGTTTGTATTCCTGGCACTATAGTGGTCCTTTAACGAAACATAATTCTAGGTTTTCATAGACAGACAAAATACCTAAGATTATAAAATGGATCTATTATTGAGTTATTTTACTGATAGTCATCATGGCATACTGGAACTGCTTTCTTTCTATAAGATCAGTAAGACAATCCACATTTTGTTACAGACCAGAGGTATTGATGGGAGGCTTTGAGGCATCCATGCAGGTGATGCAACAGGATACACATTTTGCTGTGTTTTTCTTTATAATAGGCAATTATATCAATTTGAAAATAATGATGACCAGCATATTACTCGACCAGCCTGCAAAGGACAATGGGCCCCAATGAGACAATCGGGAGGTCTTACGCTTCATGCCTGTGTCTCCATAAAAGCATAGCTGGAAACAAATTTATGCAGCACAGATGCTTTCCCAGCCATTCTATCACAAAACTGCTTAGTAGGAGGATAAAGAGAGACAAACGGTTTGGAGTAGATAAGAGTCTGGAATGGCTGGGTATATTAAATTGCTGAGGGTTTTGAGAATCATTAAAGGGACATTCCAGACCCCTAAAGCACTTAAGCTCGCTGAAAAGATTCATGTGTGAACACTATGCCCTCTTTTTTTAATTCAGTAAAAAGCTGTTTTTAAATATAGCCTCGATGAAAAATGTATAATTAAATACATGATGCATGTTTTCATTTGTTGTATATCTAATAAAAAATGATTTAATTATTTTTTTGTATTGTGGCAGTGGAATGTCCCTTTAACTGTCTGTGGAGGACATTGGGGACTGTAACTGTCTTGGTGGGAAAAGGGATATAATGGGTGGATGGAGTGTTATCTTGAAGACACGGGATAGTCAGTGACTAAATCTTTGTTATGCACTTACCAGAACTTAACCCTTAATGAGCATAGTACTAGTTTAGAACCCTTGAAAACCTTTTGTATAAATTGTGATCACCTGTACACTGAAAAAACAAACGCAAGTCCTGCGCATCCAGTATAGGTGTGCACACCCAGGCAGGGCCGGTGCAAGGATTCTTGCCGCCCTAGGCAACAATCCATTTTGCCGCCCCCTCATGAATACAACTACATTCCCTTTAGATGTTTATTCACTAAGCTCTCAATTACAGTGAAGAGACATTTAGGGAAAGAGACGCACTGAGTAGGCATTAAAGGGAAACTATAGTGCCAGGAAAAAAACTATAGCTTCCCCCTCTGTCAAGCGCACCCCCCTTGTGGTACAGAAGGGGTTAAAACCCTGTCACTTACCTGGGTCCAGCACCAATGTCTTTCATGCTGGCTTGGGTCCTCCTTCACTCCTTAATAGCCGCGCTCGCAGTGTTATTTCCATGACACTAGGTTTTGCGTGACGCTGGACATCTCCATGCATAGCCACTAGAGGAGTTAACGTTAACCCAGGAAAGTAATTATTTCAGTTTCTTAAAAATTGCAATAATTACCTTTGCAGTGTCACTTACACAATCTCACTAATACACACACTCTCTCACTGGCATACACACTTACACATTCTAAATAACTTACACACTCTAACACATACACATTCTCACTGAACTACACATTGTCACTTGCACTCTCTCACTGACATACACAGTGTCACACACTCTCACCAACACACATTGTCAGTTAAACACTCTTACTAACACCACACAGTGTCACTTGCACACTCTCTCTCACACATAGTGTCATTTGCACATACTAACACAGTGTCACTTGCACAATCTCTCTCACACACACACACACACTGTCAGTCAAACACAAAGTCACACTTTATTTACACACACAAACACAGTAATTTAACACACACACCAATTTACAAACATTCATACTATAAACAATCCCCCATGCCATACCTGGGTGCTGTGAAGGGGTCCAGGCAGCAGGATCCAGGATGTTGTTTTTCTTGCTGCTGGGAGAGCAGTGCACTGTGAGCACAGGCTGCTTCCTGTTCCCCTCAGAGTGCTTCCTGTGTTCACAGACAGGGGGCAGCCCACCGGCAAACCACCCGGTGGGCCCCCCCAGAGGCCGGCGCCCCAGGCGAATGCCTTATTCGCCTTAATGGTAGCGCCGGCCCTGCACCCAGGTGCTACCACAATTTATTTGAGGACAAAGTTAAAACAGCAAACATTTTGAGCAGCAGCCCTTTCTCAGTGCTAATGTCCCTAATGTACCTTTACACTGAGTGGCCCCACACATGTAGAAATACATTTTCATGTGATTTCAATTCAATAAATGTGAAGGCTTGGCCTGCAGTTGTGGGAGAGGCATGGTCCCCTATTTAAGCCCACTACTCATGTCCACCTGTCCCGTTCGTTCCTTAGCGTTGCTTGACTGACGCTAGTTCCGTTCACCTCTACACACTCCATTCCTGGTCCTCGTGGCTTTCCTTGCCTCGCCGCCGACCACCGCTCTGTCGCTGCTTGGGTTCCGTTTGGGCTCCGTTTTTCCCGGCTCTCCTGTTGCCCCAAACCGCTGCTGTACGTTCTGTCGACTCCACTGGACCATAAGATACTTACCCTGCCGTCGCGCCATGGTCACAGTCCATTGGCATCATCATGGTTTGGGTGCATTGTCTTGCGTTTTTCTTTTCCCACGTGTTTGTGCGTTTACCTCCCGAACGGGGTTCGCCGTTTTGGAGTTTTTTTTTTTCTCCTTTCGCTTGTTTCCTGTTCTGCTTTTCTATCCGTCATCACGAACCACTTGCTGTTCGCATGGTTCGCCTTCTTCTTTTACTGACCCCTAGTGGTGGTTTTCGTTATTGTTTCACATTTCAATAAAAAAAAAAAAGCAGTATAATTAAATTTTTAAAAAATTCATGTGGTACTTTAAAGTAGGGGTTTTCCTCATTTAATTTGCAAAAAAAAAAAATTACAATATGGAGTGATACAACTTAATAGGTACATCAATGTGTTTTTCTACTTTCTGTGGTTAGTGTGTCCCTCCTGTGGTTGTTCTTCTTGCTCATCTGGTTTTGTTCCTGCTTTCTCTCTTGCTTCTCTGGTTCTCTGTTTCGCTGCTTCGCTCTTTCGTGTTTAGTTTGGGTTTCCTTTTACCCCCATGGCTTTGTCTAATCTGTGTTCTTTTTCAGGTTTTAGTACACTGCTTCGCTGGGCTGCGTTCTTTCCCTCCTATTTCTCATGCTACTCTACCTCCTGGAAGGTACGTTTTTCACTGTTTTTTTGTTTGTTTTTTTTCTGTTTCTGGATCCACGCTCATACAGGCCCCGGGTGGCCATACTTCTATTATCTATTTCCATGCACCCTCTGTACGACCTTACTACCTGGTCTCTGACGTGCTTACTCCGCACTCCAGATATGGTCTGCCTTACGGTGCTGCCTCGTACCTCCCCTTCGTTTTCGTTACACATTTTCCCCAGGTACGTCCTGTCTTGCACTTCGCAGCCCCACCTAGTCTAGACGTGGCTGGCTGTCAGGGTCTCAGGCATCCAATAGTGGTAATCTCCCCTGGCTTTCTTTGCCTTAGGTTAGTGGTCCCGCGAGGCCAACACCCATCCTCCTACTCGGAGGTACTACGCCCCTCGGGCCAACTTATAGTTAGTCGCCTCACACGTGGCATAGAGAGGGCCTCACCTGTCACTCCCATTCTATCTTATGCTTTACTGGTCACTGAGAGGCCGACACCCCGCCACAAAATTCGGTGGCCACGAAAACACATAGACAAACCCTCTCAAGCCGCTTAGCATCTAGCAGGGCCTCACCTGTCACCAACCTAGTTTCATTTTTTTCCCTGCCTTGCGGCACTAGCTAGTTAGTCAGCTCACACTGGTCCTACATTTACACTGGTCCTTTTTCTTGCTCTAATTTATCGCTTCTTTCTTTTAGCATGGATCAAGTTCCAGAAGGTGGCGGAGAATTGTTCCTGCCCGGCACTCCAGCTAAGTCTGGTACTCCTTCTCGCAGGGGAGATTCAGCTACGCCTGCCTCCTTCAGATCCTGGTCTGTTCCTCGCCTTGCGGCAGAACTTCGGAGATGTCAGATCCCATTCCCTGCATTAGCTAGGAAGGACAAACTGTTCCGGCTGCTGCATTCCTTCTCGGCCCACGCGGACGCTGGAGAAGGCCCTAGTGGAGCTGACCCCTCTGATGTGCACACCATGTTGTCTTCTCTCATGGCATCCATGAGTCACTGGCCAGCCTTCCCGCTCCAGTTCCAGCTGACCCTCCCTCGGCTGGCCAGGGTAATTTGTCGTGTAGTATTGATACCCCTCTAGATGTCGACCCTGCTCACATAGTCCCGGCCAATACTTGGAAGGATATCTTGGACGGCAAGTACGAAGACTTCTGCCTATGGGGATGTGTCAGTTGTGATCAAGGCCCGGGACCCCAGGCTTAACAGGAAGCTCTCTGTCCCGGAATTTGTCCTGGCGTTTGGGCTGTTCAGGGATGTCTTGTGCTCGGACTATCCTGGTAGGAGGCAAGAGTTGGACCTTTACATGCATAAGCTGGGGGACTTGGGCCACAAGTACGGCGGTACATCTTTTTATGACTACCACAGGTCTTTCTCCGCAAAGGTGTCTGCAGCTTTCACCCAGTTTGGTGCCTGGCTAAACTGGGGTAAGCTGGACACAGAATTGTTCTGCAGACACTTCGCAGGTCTGAGGACACCAGCTTGCTGTCTGCTCCTCCACGTCTCACTCCACGAACCTCTGTCCCAATACGGCCGAGGCTTCTTCCGGCTTTGTTGTTCCCTCCTGCCGTTTTAGCGCATGCAGGGTTCTGCACGTTTGTTCCAAGTGCTTCCGGGCTCATGCTCTAACTATGTGCCACAATAAATTGTTTCCCAAACCCTACTTGACCTCTGTTAATGTGTCTGTCTTATCAGCCATGTTGTCCTCTCACCCATCCAGGCACTTGGTTGCTTTCTTGGTCTCTTGGTTTTTCCAAGGGTTTCCATATAGGCATCATACATATGACTCTCGGGTGACTCTCTCATACAACAGGAGGTCACTGGGGGTTTTCTTTTAGGTCCTTTTCAAGCTCCACTTTTTACTTCATGGAGGACTAACTCTATTGGTATTGTGACTGGTAAGACCTCCATGAAGCAGAGGTTGATAGTTGATCTCTCCGCCCCTCATTCGGTGGCAATTCCTAGTTTGAATTCCCTGATTCCGTCCGAGGAATTTTCGCTACACTATTCCATGATTGATAATGCTATTTCAGCCATCCTTAAAGCTGGGGTGGGTGCTCGGCTTAGTAAAACTGACATTGTCAATGCTTTTAAGCTCTTGCCAATACACCCTGCGCTCTGGCACCTGCACTGTGTTAAATGGAAGGGCCTGTATTATTTTTTCTCCCGGCTTACTTTTGGTTCCAAAACGAGCCCGAAACTGTTTGACATCTTTGCTGAGACCCTCTGCTTGTTGCTCCTTAATGTTAATAGGTGTCCCGCAGTTATCCACTACCTGGACGACTTGATTATGATGGAGGAGAACATGTTCCCCCCACGTAGTCTGAAGGAGGCCACTTCCCCTTTCGAGGTGTTGGGTGTGCCAGTGTCCGTGGACAAAACGGAAGGTCAGGACACCTTCATTACTTTCCTGGGTATTCAGCTTGATACTGTTTCCATGCAGGCCAGTCTGCCCAAGGAGAAAATAGTCCACATACTCTTGTGCATCGATGAATATATTTGCACCAGGTCTTGCTGCTGGAGGTCTTTGCTAGGGTCATTGAATTTTGCTATGAGGATTATCCATCAGGGTCGGGCATTTATATCTCGGTTGCTTTCCCTGTTTCCCGCTCTCCCTCACGATTATAGCCGGACCACACTCAATGACCATGCCACAGAGGATCTGCTCATGTGACGGAGGTTTTTGCTCTCCTGGAATGGGAACAGTATGTTCCTACCTGAAATTTCAGAGGCATCACCCACGTTATGGACGGATGCAGCTGCCATTACCGGCTTCTCTGCCATTTACGGTTCTGAGTGGCTCTGGGGTGCTTGGCCAGCGGAAATCCTGGGCATTGAGGGTTTTTCCACTACCTACACTCTTTTTAAATTTACCCCATTGTAGCGGCCGCTGTGGTTTGGGGTTAGGCGTGGTTGGGTTGTCCGGTTCGCTGTTTCTCGGGACATGTGCCACATCATTAATAAAGGGTGTTCTTCCTCTCTTGTTATTATGAGGTTCCTCAGGAAATTGACGTGGCTGGCGGCTAGTCATCATTTCTTTCTGACCTGTATTCATGTGCCAGGTGTCACGAATATTGCTGCTGACAGGCTGTCTCGGTTTCAATTTCAGGGCTTCCACGCAGCTCTGCCTACGGCTTCCACCACTGACACCCCTCCGTTTCAGGAGCTGATCATGGAGTGACCGCCTTGTAGTCCCACGGCCGTCATCTTGCCCAACTGTCTCTTTCCGTTAACACACGCAGGGCTTATGACAGGGCCTTTTCTTTGTTTAAGAGGTTTTTATCGGAATATGGTGTTACTGATTCTTTTGCCATGGCGACTGTGGTAGGTTTTGCTTCCTTTTGCCACCTTAAACTCGCACTATCACATAGAACCATCAAATTGTACCTATCAGGTATACAACCCCACATGTTGATTTTATTTCCCAACAAACACAGCTTCCTGTCTTCATACCAGATCAAATCCGTACTTAGAGGCATTCAGAGAACCGGTCACGCCCCAACACATAGGAGGTTACCCATTGACATCCAATTATTACACACTCTTTCAGACCTTTTAGATGCTGGTCCATTTGATCATCACACCGACCATGTAATTAAAACTGCAATTTACCTGGCTTTCTACGGTTTTCTTAGACCCTGTGAATTTACCACAACTACCACGACCAACCTACAATATTGCCTCAGGAGGTCTCACCTAGCTAAATTGGAAGACTATTATGTACTTACACTTCCACACACTAAAACTACACAAGATGGTTAAGACGCCCTCTTACCCTCATACCCTCTTACCCGACACATAACAAATGGTGCCCGGTTAAGATCCTAGATTCCTTTCTACTGACTCATAATATCCAAGCTTCCCAACCACTGTTAACATTACATGGGTCAGTCCTTACCACAACTAAGTGTTTGACTTATGTCAGATCATTGATCACGAGGCTATCTGACTATTCTGGCCACTCTTTCAGAATAGGGGCGGCTTCCACAGCCTCTAGCAAGAACATACCTGTACATATAATAAAAACACTAGGTCACTGGAAGTCCTCCTCATACTCTCTGTACATACCACAACCATTACAAGAACTTGGACACGCCTTTCATAAAATGTCTATGTAATTCATGCTCTTCCTTTTGTTGATTGTAATAAATTCTAGTCTGTATCTATTTATGCCCTCTTTATTTACAGGCCTACTGCTACGTCAGTTCCGGCACACCTCAACCGACTTTCCTCTTCTTACACCTTCCTCTTCTTACACCTTCCTTACACTCTTGCTTCAGCCTTTTATGCCCCTATCACAAATGCGAAGGCTTGGCCTGCAGTTAATGGAGGGGCATGGTCCCCTATTTAAGCCCACTTCTCACCTCCACCTGTCCTGTTCGTTCCTTAGCGTTGCTTGACCCCACCCTCCTCTCCCTTTTATACTTTTCTTTACGCCTTACTGGGTGGGCCCTCTTTATTTACAGGCCTACTGCTACGTCAGTTCCGGCACACCTCAACCGACTTTCTTCTTTTTCTAAGGAGCTCTTCTCACCCAGAGTCAGGGTTGATAGGGCTCTGGGAAATATGAATTTATTCCACATATGTGTTTATGTGTGACCTTTTTCATAGATATATCAGATGCTCTACACTATATATTTGTTAATTTATTTACATATACTGTTCTGATGTACAGTTCATTGTTGTTAAGTATCTAATTTAGCACAACACTGACTTTGGGGTGTTGAAACAAACCAGTATGTCTACCTTTTCTGAATAGGCACCAGGGCACTCCTGGCACCATAACAACTACAGCAGCCTACAGTGGTTAAGGTGCATTGAGTGCTCCTTTAAATAATCTACCCATGCCCCACCTGTATTTAGGTTCTGTCTCCGCCACTGTCAGAGGTTTAGGTAAAGATGGTATTTACTGGTAAGCCATCAATGATTACTAAAGCTAATAATAATAATGACAAATGGCCAGTGCTTGTATTCATCATGAAAGGTAGGAATACTGGATCTAGAATGTTTAACACAACAAAATAATAACTATACATTATGCACCAGAAAAATACATTTCCACCTGGTAATGATTTTGCACAGATAGTTTACCCATTCAACATAACTACATCGATGCCAGCTAGTTTACTTAAAGGGAAACTCCAGTGCCAGGAAAAGAATCCGTTTTCCTGGCACTGCAGGTCCCCTCTCCCTCCCAATCCCCGGTTGCTGAAGAGGTGAAAACCCCTTCAGTAACTTACCTGAGGCAGCGACGATGTCCCCCATCGCTGCTTCCTCCTCCGTGCCGCTCCTCCTTCTGACTGCGTCAGCCGGTGGGCGAGACTGATCCCGCCCACCGGCCACGGAGACCTAATGCGCATGCGCGGCAATGCCGCGCATGCGCGGCAATGCCGCGCATGCGCATTAGCGCTCCCCATATGAAATCATTGAAAATGCATTTCAATGCTTTTCTATGGGGAAATGAGCGATGCTGGAGGTCCTCACACAGCGTGAGGACGTCCAGCGACGCTCTAGCACAGGTTTCCTGTGCTAGGAACCAGGAAGTAGACAGCCACTAGAGTTGGAGTTAACCCTGCAAGGTAATTATTGCAGTTTATAAAAAACTGCAATTATTACACTTACAGGGTTAAGAGTAGTGGGAGTTGGCACCCAGACCACTCCAATGGGCAGAAGTGGTCTGGGTGCCTGGAGTGTCCCTTTAATCACTTAAACTATTTTGTCATGAACCTAGTTTATTCATTGGGCTCAAAGTGATAAAATATGAGAAATCACCACTGGAAATGATGGCATTTTTCTGGTGATTGTACCACTTACAAAGGGAATTCAAAGTGAATTTCAAATTTAACACCAAAGTAGACAAACTGGAAAATTCTCCCAGTCAGCTGTGCTTCAAGTATGGCTACTTTAATCTCAAATTTGGAAATCACTTTGAATTCATGACAATTCTCCCGTTAGTAAATAATCCTTTTAGCATCTAACTCCATATTCCATTATTATAAATATTTCCAGTTATCTCCATACAAAAAATGCAATTCTATACTTCAAAAACAATGGATTGCCATGTATCTTATCTTTTTACATATCAATGTCTTGTGAATTACATGTATTACTTTGTCATGAATAGTCATTATACTCAAAAACTCAAGTGCACTGAATGACAGTCTTTATTGTAGGTGTGACACTGTAACTCCCACAGTTTGTAGTGTGAAAATTTTAAATCATAACTTAACATGTACTGGAGGTGAGCATCAGCTCAGATTTGGTCTCTTGAGGAGACTGAACATCTTATGGGGTCAGGTCCTATTATCACTAGGAGAGTCTCTTACAAGATCATTCAGAATTAGATTTTGCGATTATGAGAACAGAAAAGGGACAGAGTCTTTATGGGGGTCATATTTAGTCCCAAGGGTAAAACTGGGTGGTTCAATCTGTTGTGGTAATTGAATTAGTGGAATTAGGAGTCCATGGAAGGTCAAGTATTATTCTCAGTGTATCTGCTAGAACTCAGCAGGGTTTAGACCCTTTGACTATTTTCTTTATGGGTCACATTCTTGCTTGAAGGTCAGCGTGGTGTCAGATTCTGTCGTAATGGCAGAGTGACCTCAACCCATTCTCCAGGCCTGTTTATAACTGATTCCCAGTAATTCTTCTCTTGCTCTGTGGAATCCATCCAGCTGACAGGTAGTGTATAGCTGCTTCCTGGGTAAATACAAAAATAAAATTGTCAAATGTGCTCTTCAAGCTATGGGTGACTACAACATTTTCTAAAACCTAAAAATAAATGGAAACATTGTTTTTTGTACCTAAATCAAACCTATATTAGAAACATTATCTATCTATCTATCTATCTATATCTATATATCTATCTCCATCCATCTTTCCATTGATATGAAACCAGAAAGGCTGCACCAACCTAAACTTGCAAACATTACAAAGGTCTAGCCATCTTCAAAGTTCACAAAAAATTCCAGGGACACTTTGCAGCACAGTTATCAATTACTGCAAAGACAATGGAACTATGGGTTAAAACACTTTCATTGAGAAAATCGTAAAAATAAATGTGGGCTGCTTCACAAGGTGAGCGACTTAAGTACAGTAGAAATCTCAATATTCAGAATGTGTGAGCGCTCCTGAAAGTAGAATCTAAATCAAAAGTATAAATTTTTAGATGTATAATCCAAGCATGTAATTACAATCAAGAACACTATAAAAACATAAGGCAAACATTCAAGGATATCTAATATATGAGAATCAATCAGGTCACAATGCCGTAGGAAAAACAACAACTGTGACCTGAGAAAATTCACAAAGGCCAACTGATCAGATATACCAAAATAAATATCTATTTAACAGACTGAAGAATAATAAAATCAGGGAGAAAGGAGGTAATAATTATTATCGAGGTCTTCTTGATCACAATGCCGTAAGTAAACAACTGATCTGAAAAGCTCCAGAATAAAAACTGAGCAGTATCAATGTATTGTATCATTATCTGCATACAACAAATTGGACACACTAAAACAATGTATCAACTCAATGTATCTGCTACTGCATAAAATATAAGAAATCACACTGTAAATAGAGGAATCACACCTAAACAGTGGATTATATATTATATATAATTCATTACTAAGATCAAAACATCGTAATATGTACAAAAGCAAAAAATTAACCTGCAGGTGAGAAAATTAAAACGTAATAACTAATCTCAATATAGAGACGATAGCAGCAAGAGTTATTGTACCTATCTATGGGGGGCCCCTCCAGAGGTCCAAAAATTATGCTGCAACTCAGATTAACGGTGTGCGGGAATGATGAAGAAAGTCACCAGCGAGCTCAACCCCATATCCCCCATCTTTACCTGGAGTGCAGCATGCTGTAACTAGATGTTAGTAAAGACAGCTCCAGTGTTCGAGGAATTTGCAACACTACTTGCCAGGACCGGAGTGGGGGACCACACCAAACTGGGACCACGAGGTAAGCCGCAGCCTCCTTAAAGAGACAGTGACCATGATCTGTGGAGGCTGAAGCTGAGACAGCAAAATCATCAACGCGTTTCTTCTACTATCGAGACTTTATCAAGACTGCTGACCAGGGTCCAGATCTAGGGCTTATATACCCTTAATACTGGACCACTGATGAGTAATTAGTAAAGTATGGTGAAAGCTAGAAATGGAGTGTTCCAAAAAATATTTTTTAGGCAGACATATACTGCCTAAAAAGTACTAGGGATACTAAATTTTAACCACAGAGTACAGGCCAGTGAATCTGTAGTATACCTATGCTATCATCAAAGTACATCAATTCTAAAAAAACAAAAAATGAAAGTGTAAGTACACTGGAAACAGAGATGGGTCTGTTAGTTAATGAAGACCAGGAAAAGGCAGAAATTTTAAATAACTATTTTTCTTCAGTATATATTAATGAGGATCCTATGGCAAGAGATATGCAAATGATTGCTGCAAAAAACTTGCAGATAACTTGTGATTAGATAACTCAAGACAATGTGCTACAGCTATTAAAGAAAATTAATGTAAATAAAGCTCCGGGGCTTGACGGTATCCACCCACGAGTACTTAAGGAGCTGACTGGGGAAATAAGTGAACCTCTGTATTTAATTTTTCAAGATTCTTTTGTTTCAGGTATTGTACCGGAGGATTGGAGGAAGGCAGATGTTGTTCCTATATTTAAAAAGGGTTCAAAATCCTTGCCTGGAAATTATAGACCTGTGAGCTTAACTTCTGTGACTGGGAAATTATTTGAACAGCTATTAAGGGATAACAATCAGGAATTCATTGGGAAGAACTGTGTTATTAGCAATAATCAGCATGGTTTTATGAAACATAGGTCATGTCAAACTAACCTAATAGCATTCTACGAAGAAGTAAGTAGAAGTATGGATCAGGGTGTTGCAGTGGATGTGATCTACTTGGATTTTACCAAAGCATTACAGTTCCTCACAATAGGTTAGTCTTCAAACTAAAAGAAAATGGTCTAAATGAATATTCTTGTTCTTGGGTAGAACATTGGCTTAAGGATAGAGTACAACGAGTTGTCATTAATGGTAAATTTTCAAGCTAGATAAAAGTGGTAAGTGGTGTCCCTCAGGGTTCTGTTTTGGGACCGCTTCTATTTAACATATTTATAAATGATCTTGAAATGGGGCATCGAAAGCCATGTATCAGTGTTTGCAGATGACACAAAACTTTGTAAAGTAATAAAATGTGAGCAGGATATTGCCTTGCTGAAGAGGGATTTGGATGATTGGGGGACTGGGCACTGAAATGGCAGATGAAATTTAACATAGAGAAATGCAAAGTTATGCACTTCGGGGTTAAGAATGCACAAGCAATTTATACCCTAAATGGTAGTGAACTAGGGATAACCACACAGGAGAAGGATTTGGGAATTGTTATAGACAACAAATTAGGCAGCAATATGCAATGTCAATCTGCAGTTGCTAAGGCCAGTAAGGTTTTGTCATGTATAAATAGGGGCATAAATTCTCGAGATGAAAATATAATTTTGCCTCTTTATAAATCACTGGTAAGGCCAAACCTTGAATATGCTGTGCAATTTTGGGCACCTGTTCTAAAGAAAGATATCATGGCACTAGAAAAAGTGCAGAAACGAGCTACAAAATTGATAAAAGGAATGGAGCATTTTAGTTATGAAGAAAGGTTAAAAAATTTAAATCTGTTTAGTTTGGAAAAACGGCGCCTGAGAGGGGATATGATAACATTATACAAATATATTCAGGGCCAGTACAAACCTTTATCTGGAAATCTATTCATAAACAGGGCTATACATAGGACACGAGGTCACACATTTAGGGTGGAAGAAAGGAGATTTCATCTAAGGCAAAGAAAAGTTTTTTTTACAGTAAGAGCAATAAGGATATGGAATTCTCTGCCTGAAGAGGTGGTTTTGTCAGAGTCTATACAGATGTTTAAACTGCAATTGGATACATACTTGCAAAAACATAACATACAGGGATATCATTTCTAATTAGTGGGGTAATAGCTGCTTGATCCAAGGAGACATCTGACTGTTATTTTGGGGTCAAGAAGGAATTTTTTCCTAGTTTGTTGCAAAATTGGAAGCGCTTCAGACTAGGTTTTTTGCCTTCTTTTGGATCAACAGCAAAAACATATGTGAGGAAGGCTGAACTTGATGGACACAAGTCTCTTTTCAGCTATGTAACTATGTAACTATGTAATGTCGTCTATAAACCGATGATATGGGACCAGGTGAACCCATAAAAAGATTTGCATATGGGGCGTGTCCTGGATGCAGAGCTGAACGGTCGCAAGCTCTGAGCGCGCCGCATGGCTGAACCTTAACACGAGCCATTGGGGCATCAAAAACCCCTAAACATGCACTAATTAGCAGCAATGTCACAACCTAAGACCAAGGAACACACAGAGAAGGAAGAAAAATCCAGATTCTTTGCAGCGAGAACAGGTCCGGGGAGACACACCTCACAGCAGGAGGCGCTCAAAAATGGCGGAGGGGAGGACTCAGAACAGGCCCTACAATCGCCGAAGACAGACCCTCCGATCACGCAGAGCATACTGCAGCAAATGCTGGATGGCATGTCCTCCAAAATTTTAAACTCCCTAGAATCCTCCATCGGCGACAAGAACTGACAAGGACATCCCAGCACAAATGAGCACAGTGCTGCTGTTTGCAGATGTCTCAAGCTCCACTTTGAAAGGGAGGAGAGACTTTCGGCCCATCACATCGCAACTTGAAGGACACGACCTAGAGTACAGATGGGGATACCCAGTCCGCTTGCTAGTTCACCATAATGGGAAGACGACTGTTATCACATCACCGGAGGATGGTGAGCGAGTCCTGAGCTCCTGGGGAATGGAGGTCCCACCTGCTTCCGTGGCCTCCCAAAGAACCTGCAGACTCTCCACAGAGTGGCAGAAAACCAAGAGATGTTGAGATTTGGCGTACTCTACCAATGCTAA